TAGCGGTGGGGTTCCCCCGCCACGAGGACCCGCGCGGGGCCGGGTGCCGCGTGGCGGCCGCACGGAGATCGCTCGCCGGGGCTGCCGTCAGGCTCCTGTCACAGCCGTACAAAAGGGTTTCCTCTCGAGCAGCTCATCTTTAATCATTACAAAAGCACAGAAGTTTAATCCATTTTTGATGTAAGCGCTAATAGCTTTGTGTCCTTGAAGTTCAAAGTGGTCTTCGTGCATGTCGCTAATTAGCCGAGCAAGCAGCCATTCAGCTCCCTCTCATGTTTCTAATTAGATCCTTAACAACAAACAAATGTCGACCTTACAAAGGCTGCGCTGCGCTTCCCTCCATTACTTAACGGGTTCGGGAGGGAGGCGGCTGCCCCGGCTCCGCAGTCGTCCGGGGCTCCGCCGGTGCCGCAGACGGAGCGGGCGCTGCCTGTGACGCAGCTGGGACGCATGCGGTGCCGTCGCCGTTCTGGGGACGCACGCGGGAGACGGGGCACGGAGCCGGCCCGGAGCCGCGGATTCAGAGCGCTCCCAGCAAACCCAGGCAGCCTGGGAAAGCCCTGCTGTCACCAGAGGATTCGGGGCAAGGGAAAAGCCGACTCCAAGCACCAAGAGTCAAGTGTTGAGTTGGCCAAGATGGAGCGCTGAGGGCCCAGGCCTCCTTGCTCACGACTCTGTGCTGCTCCTCCTGGGCTCTGCCGCGGACTCTGCGCCCAGGCCCAAGGGCCATGCCAGCACCCACAAACCTGCCCAAACATCTGCCAACATCTGCCTGCGGGGACCACGTGGCACGAGGTGCCAGCGGCTCCCAGTGCTTTCCATGACCAGACCCTGGTGCTGCCCTCAGGAGGCAACACCTCGACGGTCGCTCCGTCCCCGCAGCCGGCCAAGCCTCGTGGTTCTGAGCACACACCAACGCTCACCGTTTCCCAACGCAACGCCAAGGCCGAGCCGAGCGCTGCGGCTCCGTCCCCGCGCCGGGCACCAGGAAACGCGCTGCTGCTCCGAGCACGGGCAGCCACATCTGCATTAATTGTTTACCACAGCCCGGACAGGTCTTTTATTAATATTAATGAGTAACAGGGAACAAAGGGCCCCTTTATTTTTAGCCTACTCTAATTGCGTAGTAATTACTCATCTACAAAACAAATGAGCCGAACTCCGTTGCCATGGCAACCGAAACTCCGGCCTCCCACTGCAACGCATTAGCTGGCTATCGCTCCCGTTAATTTTAAATTGCAGCCTTTTGTACAACCACAGACGAAAGAAGAGGCAAATTAAAACAAAAGCGTGCGCGGTTCGGCCGCGCGGGCGCCGCGCGGGGCTGCCCACCCGCACGGGGCAGCCGCTCCTGCCAGGCCCTGCAATCCCCACGGGGATCCAGCGTGATGGTGGCAGCTCCGTCCCACAGGGACCAGAGCCCGGTGCCGCTCCGGCCGTCACCGCGTCTGTCACCGTGGCCGTCACCGTGGCCATCACCGCGGTCTTTCCCCATCGCACATCACTCCACCAGCCGAGAAGACTATTAAAAGTTAGCTAATAAATTCATTAAAGATTAACGTGCCCTGTACTTAAGCCTGCACTCCAGAGGTGGTCACTAATTGCACTGGAGACGATTTATCAAGTGCACAAGATTTCCTATTACAAAACTATTGATTGAGGCGGATGAATTTTAACCGCAACGGACTTGGAGCGGGGGCCTCGTGCAGCGGCTGCAGCATGCGGGTGGGCCGGGGCAGCGCCCGCCTTCACATTTACTGCAGTTTTTATATGACACTGGGGGAAGTTCAGTGCCTCAAGGGTTTTTAAAAAACCCCAATTGTGTCCTACAGTAAAACAGGATAAATAGCTGGGGGGGTAGCCTGCGTTCTGGGAAGCATCTCTGTGTCGTCCTTTCTGTAAGGGGGTTGAAGCTGCTTCAAGGTATGAGCTTGTGACTGCGACAGAAGGGATCCCGTTTGGTGGCACCGAGACGCAGAGTCCCCTGCCACCTCCATCGCTCCCATTAAACTTTATGTACTCTTATATAGCAAAATAAAAGCAGGGGAGCAGCTCCGCAGGGCAATGCTCCCCCGGGGCCACATAAATCCCGGTCAGGCTCATCCCCGACCCTTGGAAATGCTCCTCCGTCACGTTTTGGTGCCTTGATGCAGGCCGCTCTCCCCCCGCGCACACACAGACTCTCCTCATCTTTATGGCTGCAATTTGCTAACGCGATGGGTGCTTAATGACGAGATTAAATTTTTAGAGCACCTTCCTTGAGCGCAAGACAAGGCTCCCGAAGCCCCATGCAATTTGTCGCTCTGCTGACTTTTAGATACCGGCTGCACTTCATCATCTGCCTCGCGCTGGCTGCGGCTCCCCGTCTCCTCGAGGGCTGCGAGCAAGGGGGGAGTTAACCCCCTGATGCATAAGTGTCTCCCTCCTTGGTGGCAACAAGGCCCGGGAATGACCGGTCACCCCGTGCCGGCCGCGGCACCGCTGAGGCACGTTGGTTCTACAAGGACAAGGAGCAAACGCAATTCCCGCTGCTGCGCAAGCCCGTTCCGGACGGCTTCTCTCCCGCACAAGCTCCCGCGGGGACAAGCGCGCCCAGGACGGCCGTGCCTGCTCGCTCCCGGCAGCACCGACCTCCCGCTGGCGTCTCCCGACATCCCGCGGCGAGCGAGCGGCAGCGCGGCGCAGAGCGGGATTCACCGTTCACGGCCCCAGAGCCAACCGCTCGGAGCCCGCAGCCCCACTGCGGAAGCGGCTTCGCGCACAGGGTGGGTCTGGCTTTCCAATGGGGTGATCGGCGGAGAGCGCGACTGGTCTCGGAGGGCTAACGATGAGTCTATGGGCTAACATGGACGAGTAACAGGCTGATGGAGAAACCATGGTTGTAGAATGAGTTTTAGAAGATCTTGAACTTTTTTTTTTTTGAATACAAAATAAAAATAACAGAACATAGTTATATTTGGTGTTTTAATTCCTAGAGGGGGTTAATTTGAGAAAAAAAAAAAGAAAAAGAAAAAAAAAGTAAAAAAGGGTAAATTCACCGTGAACCTCGCAGCATGAGCGGGTTCCTGGGGAGGGAGCGTGTAGGCGACCTACAGCCGATGCAACGTGGCCTCCCAGGCGAGGGGTTCAGCCACGGGGGTGCTGTGGATCCAAGCCCTGGGCCTTGCTGCTCGCCTCCGCTCGGCAAGCGCGCTGCGCGCCCGGCCCCGTAATATCAACTCCCCAATGCATGTTCTACCACTACGGCTACCAGGACGACTACTACAGTGCATGCATTTAGTTCAGTCCCACAGATACATACACTCTAAGAACAGGCAGGGGAGATGGGAGATGTTTTACGGGACAACAGGTGTGTTTCGTGTTTTTTTTTTTTTTTTTTTTTAAATAAAGGGAAATCAATTTAAAAAAACACCAAAAGAAAGAAAGTGTACAAGGAAAAAAAAAAAAAAAAGAGAGAGAGAGAGAGAGAGAGACATTTCTCGAGAGTTGATATGAGTCGTTTCTCGAACCGTTTCGTCCGAACAAGCAAAAAACATGCAACCAGCTGCTACTAACAAGAAGCTGGACACGGAGAGAGGATGAAGAGGTGTGGACAAACCTTCCCGCCGAGGGCGCGCAGCAGAGTGTTTGAGAGGAGGTGTGCACGTCCCAGAGAAAGAGAGGCCGCAACGTTTGCCTCAGAGACACCCTCTCTCACCGCAGCCCCAACCAAGCAAGAGAGAAAACAACAGAACGTAACTGCTCACACTCACCGTCAGGGTCAGTAGCTCGCGCCGCCGGCGCGGGGCTGGCAAGCGTAAAGCGCAGTACGGCCTTCGGGGGCTCCGGCTGCAAGGGCAG